AGAGGGGGGGAGGGAGAGGGGGGGAAAGAGAGGGAAAGAGATACAGCAACAGAGAGACAACAGAGTGAGAAAAATACAAATGAAGGAGGCCAAAGAAGAAAAGAGAAGGCATGGGAGGAAGGGGAAGGGGTGGCTTAGTTACAGCTATGTGAAAAGTGAAAAAAAAGTCCTCTTATAAATAATCAAAAACGGATACTTTAAATTATTTTTTAATTCAGAGCATTTTAGAGAAAAATATAACATTTTTAGTTATTTCAACTGCAAAATAACAATTTAGACATGACTAAAACAAAAAATAAAAGTATATTACATATAAAGACAAAGCATTAGAAGCTTCACAGGACAGCCTATTCACTGTTTGCAAACATATAAGAAAGCTGCATTAAGTAAAAAAATGATGTTAGCAATAGTATGTACAATACACTCCTTATTTTCAGGAGGGAGAGGGGGGCCAAGAGGTACGTAAAAAAACATCAATATTTAACCGAAGCAAATAAGATAAGTATTGAGCTTGGAAAGCTGTCCATATTAGAGCCTCAGGGATGACTCACAAAGTAATTTATGTACAAATCAGATGCATAAAGTAAAGAAAATATTTCAAGGTGTATGTTTTGTGTGTTTGAGTTTATATATAATTGTGGGTAATGTCTGTATAAGCCTTATCTCATACAAGCTGTGCAAGCATGTACATGTTTGTATGTGTGTGTGCATGTATGTGAAGGTGTGCATCTGTGATGTTCATGTGAATGAGCATGTTTCTATGCATATGCATAAGATATGTGTGAGTTTGCGAGTGCAGAGTGTGTATCTGCAAGTGTACTCCCACACCCCTAACTGACACCTTTCCAACAATTTTTATACGGTACATCAGACTTTTAGCACGATCTTGCCCAGCTGCTGACAAATGTTTGCCCTCAACAAATGTTAAAATGTGAAGTGTAACATCATCTAAGCAGTGATGGGAACACAGTAATTTGGAAGAAACTTGGACAGCTGCCACGCCCAATGAAAGTGGGAACACAAGTGCATCGAAACTTGGGTCTAGGGTCCCTTGGAGGAGAGAACTCTATTGCAGTCTTTCTTAATTCTTTAACAAAAGCTCATCAAAACATACAAGGCATAAAAAGCTTCACAGGGTACCCTGTTCCCTGTTTGTAAACCCAGCGGAAAGCTGAATCAAATAAACGATGTTAGCAATAATATATACAATAATACGCCCCTCATTTTCGGGAGAGAGGGAGAAAAAGAGGGACGGATAAAACATCGACATTCATTAAACAAAACAGCCAAATCAGTTCCAAGTCACCACGGAGAGAACAGAAAACAAAAAAGCGGACGTTTCACTCACCACCAGGGAAAAACCAATCTGCGTGGGAAACAACAGCCTCCAAAAGTGCGCTCAGGGTCCCCGTCGTCAGCATGTTTGGTCTGAGGAACGACAGAAGGCCACACAACATGAGACATTTGAAGAAATTTTTTGTTTTTGTATCAGTTTTACGGCACTTGCAAGGCAATAAGGTCGTATAAGTGCCGACGGTTAGAGGTGCTACAAGAGAGTAACAAACACATAAAAGGAGGGGAGATAAGGAGGATATATGTTGGTTAGGAAAAAAAGGAGCAAACTGTACCAGAGCACCCGGCTACAACCCACTTTGAAGAATAAATTTACTAGTCATCATTTTTCAATAGATGTAAAATGCGTTGCAAAAATGTCATAACTGAAACTTAACTGGTTAACATTTTTAACATGATGAGGAATGCAGCAATTTAATTACTCTTCCTTTCTCTCTGATTTTTAACATGAGAAATGCATCAACACAATTTCTCTCTCTCTCTTTCTCTCTGTGTGCGTGTGTAGGTGTGTACGTTTGAGTGTGTTAGTAATAAATGAGTCACTGTTTCATCATGGTAAACAGCAGTCGGCTATACTATATCTTTTGTTCTGTCATGACATTCATTATATGCTGCCAATTAATAAGGGACACTGGCCTAAAAATACTAGTTACAGTGAGTACATGGAAGGGGTGAATGATCTGCCCTTTAAGGCATGATCTTCTTGTCTCTTGTGTCTCTTCAGGAGTTGAAAATATGAATTAACTGTCTTGTCATTTCTTTTCTTTTTTTTTCCGCATTAAGAATGGTCCTGCTGACCTCACTTTTCAGATGACTACAATTTTCCGAAACCTGATCCCAGATAATGAAAAACATCTTGTCCCAACTAAACTGTAGATTAACATTTTTGAATGAATAAACCGCCCCCCCCCCCCTCATAACAACCTTGTAAAAAAAAAAGGTTTCCATCTTCATACCAATAGTACCACAAATAACAGGTGTGCTTTATGGGGTACTAGGCCACTAGGACATGAAATGTATACATGCAGTAACAACAAAGAGGAGCCTGTAACTTATAAATGACCAATGAGGTCCAAGGAAAACCTCACAGAGAACACTTACGCGCTGTTTTTCTCGGACCACAACAGGTTTGGACCAATCACAATGGCAATGTTGCTCGGCTTCATCTTGTTAATGTCGCTCTTCTCAGCTAGTTTGGCAAGGAACTTGATCAAATACCTGAGACACACAAAGAGACTTGTAAGCATTGCATGAGACATAGAAAGACAATTATATTAAGTACTTAAAAAACACACACCAAAAAAAAAAACCCAACATATTTGAAAAAGAGACAGATAACAATAGGACAAGGAAAGAGGAGTCCCAACCCCTTAAATGACTTTTTAATGAGAGCCATAACTGATTATAATAATAATAAAGATTATAATATTAATATAATAATAAACAACAATGATAATAATATAATAATAACAATATTGCAGATCATTTTTATAGCGCCTACTCGTGTGTGCACACAGTTACGGGTGCTTTACATAAACCCCCCCCCCCCCCCCAAATACTATCTGTAAAAATTCACATAAAAATTGTTTTAAAAATATTACAGAACTCTGATTATTTAAAAAATCTGTCACCCTAGTAATTGCTTTTATACACCCTCTCAACATAATAATCAGCAAAAAGTATTAGTCAAGTAACACAACAATAAATAAATCACATTCTTCAAAAAGTGGAACAAATGGAAATTTGAAGTTTAAAAATCCATTTCTAGTACTGAGTATAGAATTTCTTTTACGTTACACAGTTTAGGACTTAGCTGGATTATCCATGGGATCATTTGCAAAGAAGAGAGATAATTTTTTAAAGAACGCAACCAGGGGAAAAAGCTCTTTTTTTAATTTTTTAATTGTGACTTTTCTGGTTTTCCAACTGAAGTTTTCATTCATATTACAAGGCAGCTTCTTAATCAATCCATAGAACTACAAGTCAGTATGAACAAACATACCTAAAATTGTTATAGTTGGCTTTGGGCAGTTTGTTTATCACAACCCACAAAGTTTGCAGACGTTGATCCTGGGGCCTAGAGAGAGAGAGATGAAAAAATTCTTGTAGCATAAATGAAAATCAACTTGTATCATCAAACATTAACTGATTCCGTCCATTCGGCCGCTGACAGCGGCTCTGAGTTTTTCCGCTGCGTCCATTCGGCCGCTGTGAGCGGCTCAACGAAATCCGAAACAAAGGTGCACTTTTTAACATAGTTCCTACTTTTTAAGTTGTCGAAAGGAAGTAGAACTTGTAAACAAACCTGACCTCAATCTCTGAGTGCCAATATCGATCGAAACTCCGCGAAGTTCTTGCAAAAATCGTTGTTTTGTTGTTGCGATGTAGGCTAGATCTAAGGGTAAACAACACGGAGCCTGGTATAATAAAAAGGCTCTTCAAAGAAAGATATTCACCTAAATTTGTGAAATTCTTGCATAAATGTGTGCTAGGGTGATATCGCTACAATGTTGTGTTGATTCCTATGGATTATAAGGACTTGTAGAGCTGAGAAAATGCGGTAAGTCGAAATTTTCGAAGAGCTGTTGCGCAATTTTTTTTCTCATTAGTTTTTGTCAGAAGGAAAATGTAATACAAACAGATTATAGGTCATTGTTATTGATATAAACAGATTTTTCTATTTATTCCCATCAGTTTGGTATATGACAATACTTATTAGAGGGACTTAGAGCTTCACAGTAATGCATTAAATAGATGCACCCCAGGTCTAAAACTGAGCAGGGAAAAATAACTCTGTCCAGAGCCTGAAAAAATCATGGACGGAATCAGTTAAAATGCATTCACCAGGAACCCATATTGAACATAATTTTCCACCACATTAAAAGATGACTAATTACTCAACTAACTCCCAATTGCTTTAAAAAAATATATATTGTGGCTTTCTTTGAAGGGAATGCTTTCGCGTTGTTTAAGTTACTGATAATCGGATATATCGACAGTTTCTGTTTGAGACACAATTTACACATGACCATTTCAGTCATGAAACCTACTTTCATTATAGCTACACAAACCAAGCTTTTCCCACACAACTTGTAAAATGTGCAAGCCTTATCTTTCGTTGAAAATCATTAGCTCTACCATATGTGATGTTAAGTTACAACTGGTGTATATTCAACTGATCTCTGTTAGTATTGATTCAGTATAAATGTAAGCAGGCATCATCAACCATTTTGATCAGTATTTACCCACAAATTAACCCCTCATCCCCCCACCATAGAATTTTTTTTTTTTAATTAAAAAATCAAAGCAATCAGAAAATACTGGAAGGAACCTTACAAGCCAACAGCCTGCATGAATTCATCATATAATGCGTAGGTGAGCAAAGGTTCCGGCAACTCTCGCAGATACTGCTTCAAGGCACCTGGGGAGAACAGAGACTCAGATTTGTTGTATTTTTCTAAGTTAGAGTGTTATGCCACTTGCGACACAATTAGGTAATATAAATGTCATAGATTAGAGGTGTTATAAGTGAGTAACAAACACAAAAGAGGAAGGAGAGATAAGGATGATATAGATGTCTGATAGGATAGACGAAGTAAATCACACAGGAGCACCTACCAACCACCCACAGAAGCTCGGATGAGAGACTCAATGATATCAACGTTTCAACCTGAGACAGAAATAATTTATATATCCAGAATAGTCTGCTGATAAAGAGAGAAATATTGTTGTGCACAATGGGAGCTACCCTAAAACAGAGCAAGATTTTAAAAAAATTTAACAGAGACTCTCTCTCTCTCCAAGACGTACAGAAACACTTCTCCCCCCCCCCCCCCCCCGACAAACACACACAGATAAGTGGAGGGGCATGAAAAGACCAGACAATAAGAGAGTCCCAAAAACGATGCATCTCAACAGAAGATTCACTTCATTTGTTATGAAACCAAATCTTATATTGATTACAAGTATATTTCATTCACTACTCTCAAGAAAGTGTATCTTTTTTCAAGCCAACCATATACCATCCTTTATCTGCTTTTGGAAATCATTTTTTTCACCAAAAGTTCAACTCCACTGACCAAATGAAAAGAACTATGAACTATAGTCCAGAAAGTACAGGTCATGGTTATAAACTAGTAAGGTATGTCTGAAAACTAAAGTGGCAAAATTTCCATCACACACTCACCAGCAACTGTGTGGGGATCATTGCCAAATTCAGCCATGTCCACAGCATTTGCATCAAAGCTGGCCTGAAAGGAAAGAAAATATATCGTCAGCGTCATTCAACAATTCAACAATCACCTCAATCAATTTTATGGCCGGGTGGGGGGGGGGGGGGGGGGGGGGGGGTGTCCCCAGGTAAAGCTGCTATTTGAATAAAGATATCAAGGACCATCTCACACCATGGATAATGAAATTGAAGAAATCAGCACTTTTTCCACCTGTTGATTAGTTTATATCAATTTTTCTTTTTACGGCTCAACACTTTTTATGTCCATTAAAAAATGTTTGGGTGCGGATTTTACTGAAAAAGGTTGTTCAAAGGCACAAAAATGTACATGCAGTTTCCAAGCACCTTTTTATTCTTCTCTTTTTTAATTTAATCAAAGTGCAATTTTTCCCCCATGGGTTTTTTTAAAACTGAGAATCTAGAAACAATCCATAGATAATTTAACAGTTGGACCTCAAATTTGAACAGGAGACCCAAAGAATCAACTCAGGAACAAGCCACAGGGTTATTCAAAATTTCTAGCAGCATTTTAGAGCCTGCCATGAGAGAAATGGTCAACATCTTGAACATATAATCTAATTAGCCACCATCTTCCCAAATTTTTGTTGTTGACAATATCAGTTTTAATAAATTTGTTTTTTAGAGCACAAATACGCGTTACGGTCAATTTTTTAGAAATTGTAAAGCTTTCCAATACGGTTGATTTTTAAGAAAGTTTACAGTTTTCCATTTTATCCCATTTTGGTTGAAATGTTAAAAACTTGATATTTCTCAAACACGTAAGACCATTTTCTTCATATTGTCCAACTTAGCAAGCCCTTCGTTAAACTTTATCTTTCTGAAGTTTTGTGCCAAGGTGGCCAACTTATAGCCTTTAATATGGGTTATCTTTTCTTTCAGAAACCCAACATTTGACCTCGTTAGCATACCAACCTTATGCAAATTGTCATTACTTTCACAATTACTTAAAAAATTTGAACCATGGTCTGAAACAGAACAATACAAGCCTATACTCACCTTTAACTTCTTCAGCTTGATGGCTGCACCAGCTATTCTGAACAATCCCTGAAACAGAGAAAAGAAACAAGTCATCACCACTGAGAGTTCATTTCTTGTATGAAATAAAATCAAAACAATCGCCCACATCAACAAGTCTGAATAATATTCTCCATCTCAACAAGTGTCTCTTCAGAACTTTGTGTATGACTGTGAAATTGACATACTACTGGACTCATAAAAGCCTACAGAGTATCAAGCAATATACAGATAGAACAAAAAAATTAATTCCACTTCAGGCTCAAAACTTCGCCATCTTTCTCATATTAAAAAAGTAGCAATAATGTATTGAGAAAAAGTATTTATCCAAACTCATGATAGATTATATTCTGCGGACTCTTTCGCAATGTAAAGAACCTCACATATCGATGGGAAAGTTATGACGTCGTCATACGCCATTTTGAGAAGGTTTTTTTAAAGTTTATTTTAGTAAGTATTTTACGACACTTGCATTACAATTAGGTCATAAAAGCGCAGAAGATTAGAGGTGTTACAAGAGAGTAAATAACACAAAAAATGGAGGGGAGATAAAGATGACTGATGTTTGATGGGAAAGAAGAAGAAAACCACATCAGAGCATCCGCCAACCACCCACATTTTGAAAAGTGACATAGGACAGTCTTACACTGAGCAGTCAGTAATAATAATAATAATAATAATATTGATTTTTTAAAAATAATTATAACAACAATAACAATAATAAAAATAATCATGATAATAACAATAATCATAAATAGCATTTGCTTAGTGCGTTTCCCTGCACGACAGCAAGCTCTATGTGCTTAACACTATATTACATACCCATACATGCCCAACTTTGTTTACTGATGTTCTGGTAAATCCACCAAAAATTTCCCTCATGGATCAATAAAGTAAATCTCATCTCATCTCATCTTATCTTATACCAGGCTTACCTCCTCCTCCATCCCTATCTCCAGCAGGGTGAGCACACAGGCCTCTAACACAACGGCTATATCACGACACATGACACGGAGATGCTCCTCCAGGGGCATTCCATAACACGGTTTGGCAGGAGAATTTTCTGAAACAGGACAACAAAAACCCGTGGTCATGTGTTTGTTTCATTAAAGAGAAGCCTATCACCACAATGATGGTGATTTGGTCGCTTTTAAGCACAAGCGGGCTATCCCGAAAAATGCTGTTTTGAGAAAATCAAACGTTAAGTTTTTGGATCCTTATTCGGTTTCTTTAAAAGACAACGAGAGCTTTCTGTATAACCAAACAAATATACACACCAATGAAATCAAACTTCTCCTTTAGGTATAGCAATGCAAACTATTGGTGTAGGTCAAGATTTCTGGAAAACTCCGAAATCAGGGTTAGCCCGCTTGTCCTTAAAAGGCGACTATATAGTGCAGGGAAAAGTAAGGCAAGACAAACAGAAAACAAAGGGAAACAAAAGAAGTAAGTCCTACCAAGTGGTGCTCTCCAAACATTCCCAAATAAGGGGAGGGAAAAACTATCTAGATTCATCTGAGTAAAATTATTGGATCGGGAAATGAACAAATAGCTAGAATTCAGAGAAGATACAGCAGCGCATTTTAATAGTGAGATTATCTAAAACACTCGACCTTCAAATAAGCCTCCACCTCAACAGAGCGGCGGGAAGAGAGCCAAGGTATCTTCTCAAATACCCTTTAGTTCAAGATCAAAATCCTGCATAACATGTACCACCAGGGGCAGAAATGCTTACACAGCAATTCAATGTGATATCAGCTGAGATGATATTCAAGAGCCTCTTAAAACATAAGGTGTCTTCAAGTGTTGGGAGCTACTGCTGATTCAGGATCGACCCTGAAACAGCTTTGCTTGGGTCAATATTTTTCACTATGTCCCAAAGGAAAAATTGTGGAAACAAAACCAATGCCAGAAATTAGAGAAGAAGTGTTAACCAAAGTCATCACTTTTATGAATGAACATAGGTACATTTACATCTAGAACAAATCTAAAACAATATGAGCTCTTCACTGTACGGCCATTTCATAAACAATTTACTTTAAATGGAAGTTGAGGATAGTAAACTAAACAATAAAACAAAAAAGTTTGACATACATCAAATACAAATCAGATATAATATATCTAGGTCTTTTTTTTTACTCACGTATTGCAACACGCATCTGAGGTATACAATCCTCAATGATTTCTAAAGCTTTCTTGTGGTAAGCTGCCTGAGCCTCCAGAAACTGTAAAACAAAAAATGTTAAAAAATAAACAACAGAATTATATTACCAAATAAAAATCATCAAAGCAAAGGAAGTGGCACTATAACTGCTACGTGGTCCTAATTGGTTCAGCATTAACTCTCAAAGGTTGTCGACAGTACGTTTTTTAACATGCAACGCAATTTATTTATATATAAACAATATACACAGTCTTACTCGTAATCCATAACAAATTGACTTGCTTCTTTTAGATCGTCGTATTCTACATCCTCAAAAGACTAAAATATATAATAATGACCAGAGTCCATTTAAGTTATCAGAAAGGGATTATATCAACTTGAACAAAGTGGCTCTTCTTAGAATTTCAACTACCAGGGTATCTGCTACATATGTGACGCATACTTATCCGATACAACACCCACTCAACCCCACTTACCAAGGCCCTACTAGTGTCAGAAAGGTACAAGATTTTTAAAAATGCTACATCATCCATGGGCTACATTTGTAGGAACGCAGTCCAGTTTTAATAAAAGTAAAAGTTTATCAGAACTTGAAACATAAACAGGTAATACATGAGCCGGAGAATCGAGGTATTACCAGAGAGTAATTTACAAAGAAAAATAAAACAAAAATTAGGATGATAGATTATAATTTTGATAGGCAAGAAGGAGCAAACCACACCAGAGCACCCGCCAACCACTCACAATTCAAAATTAAATAATGTATTTTGGTTTGACAAAAAAAAAAAAGCACCTTATGAGAAAGTCCTCTGGCTACATTAGTAACAGAAGCACAGCAAGTTGAAAAATTAGACAGGAGAAAAATTGCGGCACATAAAGGACTTAAATTTCCACAATGACATCGCACAAATGCTCAAACAAACATGTGTGGTTTACTTCAGACACCAAAAACCCTAATCTAAAAAAATAAAAATACTAAGTACTTACAGCAAGCAGCTTACAACTGTGCTCACTTTCTTTAGCAGCAAAATTGCACAATTCTATTGACAAGCTATCCTGCAATAGAAATAGAATATGTATAGAATAAAAGTGGAGAAAGGGGGGGGGGGAAGAAAAAAAGGAGCATGATGACTTGACAACAGACATTTAGTTCAGATAAGATAAGACAAGACACATCTTTATTGTCTAGATCTTTTCACATTGATTTGGTCTCTCTCTCTCTCTCTCTCTCTCTCTCTCTCTCTCTCTCTCTCTCTCTCTCTCTCTCTCTCTCTCTCTCTCTCTCTCTCTCTCTCTCTCTCACACACACACACACACACATGCACACACAAACACACATGAGCACACCCATATACACACACACTCTTCCTTCACACATCCTCTCTTCCGCACACATCTGTGCATATAAACGTAATTATACAATAGTATGTTTGCACTCACAAACAGGCTCACAGTCACATGCATAATAAAAATGTACAACAATTATAAACATTAATATTGTTAATGTGGATGCGCACTCAGTATTCTGATTCTAACCTAATGGCATTCTGATGCATACTTGAAAGATCATAGGAATACTTATAGCAAGATGATTAAGATTGTAGAAGTTTAATGGGTGTTTCAAGGAATGAGCAAGAGCATCAGGCAGAGAGTACGGAAGTAGGACCTACCAGTGATATGCTCCGACTATCAGTTACTTCTCAGGAAGTACCAGAACATTATACTTAGTTTTAGTAAAAGTTTTACGTCACTTGCAACACAATAAGGTAGTATAAGTGCCGAAGAATAGATGTGATACAAGAGAGTAACATACACAAAAAAGAAGGAGGAGAGATAAGGACGATGGATGTTTGATAGGAAAGAACGAACAAACCGCACCAGAGCACTCGCCAACCACCCAGGAACATTATACTACTTTTGTCAATACACACAACAAAAACACAATCAAGTGTAGCAGTTAAGTTACATTTAGCTGACATTTCATGTGCATTAACTTCCATTAACTAAATGGTAGCATTTCGCACAGATACCATTTTCCAGCTGGAATGTGATATCCCTATCAAATCTACTTAGACAATTTACCAGGTGGGCTTCTTCAACTATATATTATGTCAGATCCAACCAATGCTGAGAGGAATACAGCATCTCAGCAGAGAGACCAAAGACCTCAAAAGAATCTACTTCTCCAAGCACCTTTGTGTGCAATGGCAAAAAAAAAGCTAATTGTTACACCACAGATACAAATAATATACGCTCTTGTGGATACTTGACCACTTTTCTTTACATTGAAAACCTTCCTAGCAACCCGGCTGGTGGGGGGAGGTTAGTCGAGAGTTTGCACGGGACACGCAGGTCTTTGCAAGGGAAGCTCACGTGAGCTTATACACAATCAGTCACTCACAGTCAGTCACGAGAAAGAGAAGCCCGAGTAAGCATCGAGCCGAAAAGCAGACACTAATATTCTCGCACGACGGAGGGACAGAGCTAATGTCAACTCGCAATACGGAAAATCAACTACTCTTGTTTCAAACAAAATAAAAGTTATTTTGTGCAGTTGAAAAGGGAGGAGTTCGTCTTTATTACATCAAGATATTCGTCTGAATATTTGTTTGTTCAGTGTTCCGTAACATAACCAAAAAGTGAGAAAAATAGCAGTTCATATTAAGGTACCAGACATACGAGAAAAACAAAAACCCCACAGATGCTTAAGGATACATCTTTCATATTTTCCTCTGTAAACTGATTTTTTTGAGACACATGGGATTGCAAATGTGGATTTATTGTTTCTTTTAATGGCACATAAACACTCTTTACCCTTATGTGTTCCACTTTTTGAGATGCTTCCTCCATTTCCTCCTTGATCACATCTGCTTTGGCCGCCGCATTAGCCATGTTAGCACCAGGAGCGCTGGACTGGCGAACTGCCTGATTGAACCTGCAGGATGCACACTACATTGTACTCATCATCATTGCATACAGAGAATAAAAAAGGTTGAGACTTGGTAAGATTTCCAAAATATTTTATAATACGTTCAACATTTCGCCCATTATGGGCTTCATCTGGAACATAAAAAAAAAAAATATTAAAGAGATAATAAAATAATATTAAAATAACATTAATATTACTTATCATCACCATCATCATTATCATCATCCTCATCAGCTTGTGCCAGATCGAAAAGTAGACATAGTCAGTCATGGTTTGACACTCATTTCTCTTCTCTGATGTAAACCCCCCCCCCCCCCCCCCCAAAAAAAAAAACCCAAACAAACTACATATCTTAGCAAAACGGGCCACATGGGAATTCCGTGTAAAGTACCTTTCCCCAGGACCCAACCTTGAAACGAGCTGAGGCTCAAACCCCCAAACCCACAACCTCAAAACTACGAGTCCGGTAGCCTAACCACTACGCTACCGATACCACTGCAAAAACATATAGGAAAGGAGCTGAAAAAAAAAAAAAAAAAAAAGAAAGGCCTTCCTACCTGTTCTTAGCAGAATCCATATCCAACGTTGATTTGTTCAATGCTTTTCTGAATTTAATTATGCTGGGTATTTCAACCTGGAAAAGATAGTGCAACAAGGCAAATCATCAAAAAGCACAAATGTCACAAATAAGAAAAAAAGAAAAGTAAGACCCCTTTCAGGAATCTCAGAGCATTCCTAAATGAGAAACACAAATTTCACATTTTCTATTAAACTTTCATTATGAATGTTTTAGTAAGTGCTTTACTGCACTTGCAACACAATGAGGTCGTATAAAAGCTGAATACTATAGTGCTGTCAAAAATTGGAGGAACAATTTATTGTCAAATATTTCCTAAACTATCGAAAATAGACTCTCTAAATTGTGCACTGTAACTTATATCAATTTGTCACATCAATATTTTTGTAAACACCTGTTAGCTGTATTCTAGAAAATTCCTTCATAAATACGTACAAAAAATCCAAAAGGTTATTTCTACAGAATTTAAAAGGTTTACAGCTGGGGCAATATCGCTTTTAAAAGCAAGTCTGTAATTTGTTTTCTTATCGTGACACTATCTTTATTGAAAGCGTGTTTTGAGGACCTTTAGTGAAAAAAAAGTGTTCCCTATAAAATCAATTTCTTGTAACAAGTTTTGCAATCAAAAATGTTATTGGTGAGCTGTGACCATAGGCCATATGTCTAAATGCAAAACGTGGACTGCATTAGTTCACCCACTAAATAGATATTTGAGGATAAGTTGCGCCAAGAATTTCTGACTGCACTATAGAGGTGTCACAAAGAGAAACATACACAAAAGAGGAGTAGAGACAAGGATGATATATGTCTGATAGGAAAGAAAGAGCAAATCATACCAGAACACCTGCCAACCACCCACCATGTAGCTTAACAGTCAGGCACAGTGAAACGTTCACATGTTGCTTACTAAGATATAGATGTGCTTAAATAAGAACTGTGTCATTCCAAACACATCAGACTGGTTTGTATTTCATCTATGTGCCATTAATAAACTGAAAAAACCCCCAACCCACACTGACATTTTTACGAGATTTATCTAATCTGGTAAAACTGGTGCTGATCACAGAAACATTCAACATTTTAATTTTTATACTCCAGACTAGTTGAGGTGGGGGATTAGAACAGCTCAAGATTTACTGGGGGGGGGGGGGGGGTTCAATCCATTATCTGTACCTACAAATTACTATTAAAAACCATTGAAAATGACGCATTGAGAGAGCATGTTTTTCTGTATCCAAACCAAATCTATGCTACATGCGATATTGAGACTTATAGGAACCAGAGATGTCATCACGTAAATTCCAGATGATATATCATATTTGTAAAAACATAATGATATTTAGATGACCTAGACGTCATTCATATCATCCTACACCTGGTAAACAAATGGCCACCTAAAAGTATTGTTATTCACGACAAAATACAAAACATAATTTCAACAAACACATATTTGTATCAATCTGATTTTGGCTGAAGCTTTTTGTCTTTAATTCAAATGAGACAGAATAATACCTCTTTTGACTTGATTATCTAGCTCTCCTTGAAATAGGTAACTTCATGTTGTCTCAGTTTTTTCAGTCCATTTATTTGTTTTGGCTAGGTTTGTTGTTTTGTTTTTTTTACAAAAAGGACACACAATTTGTGGTGTGTTGCCATGGCAATCTGTCTGATTCAAAAACGTTGTCATTGACACTCCTTCTGCAAGGCTCAAATAAATAATACAAGGGGTGTAGAGACAAAATGGGTTAAAATCCCATCCTAAAAACTGCCATAGCGTCACACCACTCATGCTATATCTACTAAATTACTGGGGGGGGGGG